CTCTTACTCCAATGATATAGTGGGTTTGTTTTCTACATCCCCATGCAAAAATACAAAAAGTAGATACTTTGCAGTAAACGTTTGCATCACATGTGTAAAAAACACTGAGGTGCTTCTGGGTTGAAAGGATTAGCCAGTGACATCACTGTTGTCCAAAGGACGTCCAATTAAGGGCTCCATTCATGTCCCAGCAGGAGCTGGAATGAAGGAGGGGAGCTCACCGCGCCCCATGGCAGCATGCAGGTTTTGAACAGGTCTCACACGTGAGCTCACTTACTTCCAAACCAGCGTCCTAACTACCTGAGCCACTGTGCTCTTAGACAGTAAGGTTTTAGATAAAGGAACAAATTGCATGGATGGAGTAGAATCGTTTTTACTGGCAGTACCTAAGCAAGACCTGGTGGATTATCTGCTGTGAATGCTATCTCAGTTTAGAGACTCAAAAAACGATTCACATGGATTTTATTTATTAAGATCTGTTAAAAAGCAACTTGAATCAACTCTTGAGTCTCTATATACCTGAGATTCTCTCTGTCATTCTCTTATATCTTTTCAGCGTTCACCCCACTAATATACATAATTATTAAAATTAAAGAGACTCAAATAATTTTGCTGGACCTTTCTGAAACTTGAACTCCAGTACAGTGATTAGAAACCAGCTCTTCTTTAAACACTGAGTGGTCCTGGGCTGGGAAAAGAAATTCCAAAGATCTTGAAAAGCTGCTGACAAGGCCAAAATAGTAGAATAATACATCTATCTGGACCCCAAGGTCTAGAGTGGCTCTTTTGAAGATGCTTCCACTTTCAGACAGTTCATTTTCTCTCTCTCCCTCTCCCCCCTCCTCTCTCTCTCTCTCTCTCACACACACACACACACACAATCCACTTTATGATTTGTAATCATAGACCTACCAAAAGATTAACAGATTCTATGACATCCAGGAAGACTTCATTCTTTCGGTACTTGATTCCTTCAGAACGCCAAGACACAGCGTTTGTAACAGTGGCAGGAGGACGTGGAGCTCCAGTTTCCAGCTTGTGGCCTTCTTGTGTTATGTATCTATATCAACACAGGCAAGATGTTCAAAATGCGAGTATCTGCGTATTTTAGCCCTAGAGATTTATTTAAATTAGGATTACACCAACTAAATAAAGGACAGTTTTAGCCATCCTGAATTGGTATTATTAAATATACAGAAAATGTGAGTCTTTTAGCTCCAAGCCACATCCTTACTCTTGTAAAATTTTACTATCTGTGGTTTGAGGATATCCAAAGTCCATCAACTCATCTAGCAGTTCATAAATAATCACAAAATTATCCCGAATGCTCTCTTCTTCCAGTTCCTTGAAATATTCAGAAAAGACCTGAAATAAAAAGTTAAAAACAAATGCAATATGCCTATATGGTAAAACTCCAATTTCATTATCCAATTATTTTTTAAATAAAAATTGTTGATATAATCACAATTACTTCTCACTCTAGAGAATAAATGCCAAACAAAATCTCAGAATTTGAATCATAATAGAATCAATACTGCACTCACCTGAACTACTTTGTATAGAAATGAGAACACGAGAGATACACAGGCATTCTTCTTTGAAGTGGCAACCACTGAGATAGCATATTCAGGAGTTTATAGATATTCGTATTTCCAAACTATTTCTCTTTATATTTTAGATTTTACTGGGTTCTTTTTCAATGAATATCCTACTTAATTTCCTGCAAACTATGAACTTGTATCAAAACATTTTATAATACATATTCTAACTTTAGAAAACCAGAAATGCAATTATTCAAAACTTCACTAAGATAATGTCTTCCGAGGCAAAATCAACTAAAGCACTAAAT